GTCCATTGGCTGTTCCTGAACGGCCTGACGGGAGCCTTATAGGAGCAGTAGGGCGTCTTAAGACGTCCTTCCCCTCCCACGCTCGTGCATGGTGCCCAGCGCTCACACTAGTGGGGAAACTGTCAAAATGTAAACAGCCAGCGATGGTTAACATTCAAGCGATCCGGCGTCTCTAGAGATGCCGAATCGCTTGTAGTAGGCGCGGGTGTGCGCCGCCCTCTCTGTCGCCGCCAATCCGGCACGGCGACTCTGTCTGTGGACATCAAAAGGAGATCGCTACACCATCTCCCTTTGATCTCTTTTCCGGTCCCTGAAAGCAGGAAGTGATGTATATTGCACCACTTCCACATTCAGTGTCTCTCTCTGGCAACAGATGCCGGTGAGAAGCTGCTGAAGCAGATCTCTGCTTAATCAGCTTCTCTGGGGGTCCCTAGGTGACATTAGGGGTCTTTGAGACCCCTGATGTCTCCATAAAGAGGACCTGTTATGTGAATTGGCTATCACATAGGGGGTTTCTTAGCCCCCTATGTGATGGCAATAAAGTTAAGTGTAAAAAAAAAGTTTAAAAAAAATTAAAGCATAAAAAAATAAAGAAGCTTAAAAAAAGTCACAAATAAAAAAAAAAATCTAAAATAACACAAATTTTTTTTTTAAGTCCCCCGCCCCCTTATACACAAACATGTCACTGTTACGGTGTTTAAAGATTGCTCAGTCAATGTGTTACACAAAGTCCATGCATCTGCGTGAATACATGTGGTAGGGGTTTAATAAATCCGAACATAGTTAGTCAGAAGGGCCCATAAAATATAAGCATTTAATTGCCTAAACATCCGTAATGGGCCATAAGGGTGGGGTTTTTTCACCCGAGGTGCATGGTGAAAAAAGGAAAATAAAATTGTACCAAAAGTACAAGGGAAATCAGGGGCTGCCATGTTCAACAACATGGCCCACCGGATAACCATATCAAATATCCACTGGAGTCACAGGTATCAGTAATCTCTCCTCAAGAAAATAGGTTAATCCTAAACCCTTGCACAGGGACATTTAAGCAAGTACACGCAGAACTCAGTATCACAAGTCAAAAATCCACGTATGGAATACTTCTTTCCATTATAGGGGTGTGGGAACGAGTTGCCACAAACCAAAGCATTGCACATGTTGCAATGATGGCATTTGTAGTAGCCAGTCTTAGTGGAAAAAGAAAAAGTTTTTTTGGAATATTTAAATCTGGGATTGGCCTGAACAAGCATGTCCCGGAGTGATCGACTGCGTTTGTAAACGCTTAGCGCTCTATTCTTGAGAATTGGTGTAAGCGTTCTATTGGCCTGAAGAATATTCATGTTTTCAATAGAGACTCTATGAATAGTCTTGGATGAGGCTGAAAATGTTTGTAAAAATGGAATCCGTTCTTGGGTGTTACGCGGGGTGCTTGTACCATTTAAATCTCTCATAGGCCTTCATTGGAGAACCATCGAGAACTGCAGTGGGATAACCCCTGTGAAGAAAATTGTTGTACATTATGTCAATCTGTAATTTACAGTGGTATCTGTAAATTACGGTGGTATCAGAGCAACTGGGAAATAGGGAGATTATCCAAGAGATGTCGGGGATGGGCGCTCTTATAGTGTAGTATCGTGTTCCTATCTGTTGGTTTTAGTATAAACCGATATAGTGAGTTCATTGTTGGTCACAGTGATCAAAACGTCAAGAAATGAAATTTCAAACAATGAGCATACAGGATTGAAAACAATGCCTGAGAACAGTCCATTCAAAAAGGACACAAACTCAGTGAGTGAGCATTCATTACCATCCCAAATCATAAATACATCGTTGATAAATCTTACCCATGTTATCACCTGTTTAAATAAATGGGATTTGTAAACCTTATCCTTTGGGCTATTGGAAGCCAGTTCAGGGATTGGCAGAGGGGGGTTGCAGACACTGAGCGGTTGGTTAGGTGGATGAGTCTAGCAGCTGCATTCATGATAGACTGAAGGGGGGATAGCCTGTGTAGTGGAAGGCCAATGAGGAGGGAGTTGCAATAATCAAGACGAGGTATAACAAGGGAGTGGATGAGTAATTTTGCGGTTTCTTTGGTGAGGAAGGGGCGTATTTTGGAGATGTTACTAAGGTGAAGGCAGCAGGATTTGGATAGTGATTGGATGTGGGGAAGAAAGGTGAGGTCCGAGTCAAGGATGACACCTAGGACCTTGGCATGAGGGGAGGGCTGGATAGTTGTGTTAACGATCTCAAGGGAAAAGACGGGAGAAGGTGCACGGGCAGGAGGAAATATCAAGAGCTCAGTTTTTGAGAGATTGAGTTTTAAGTGTTGCGACATCGAGGCGGATATGTCGGATAGTAGATTAGTGACACGAGAGGGGAGTTGTGGAGTAGAAAGATAGATTTGAGTGTCATCGGCATAGAGATGATATTGGAAGCCATGTGAGGTGATCAGCTGACCCAGGGAGGAGGTGTAGATGGAGAAGAGAAGCGGTCCAAGGACCGAGCCTTGGGGGACCCCTACAGAAAGAGGAAGAGGAGGGGAGGATTTAGAATTGTAGGTGGCGCTAAAGGAGCGCATAGATGGGTAGGAGGAGAACCATGAGAGAGCAGAGTCTTGTAGTCCAAGTGACTGGAGTTTTCTGAGGAGGAGCAGGTGGTCAACAGTGTCAAAAGCAGCAGAAAGGTCTAATAGCAAAAGTAGGGAATAGTGGCCTTTGTTTTTAGCAGTGAGTAGGTCATTAGTGAGTTTTAGGAGGGTGGTTTCAGTGGAGTGTTGGGGGCGAAAGCCAGATTGTAAGGGGTCAAGAAGGTTGTGATCAGCTAGGTGGCGACTTAGGCGGCAAGGTGGGAGAAAACAAGATCTAGTATGTTACCGTCAGAGTGAGTAGGAGTGTCTGACCATTGGGTTAGATCAAAAGAAGAGGTTAGGTTAAGAAATTGAGCAGAAGCTGGGGTGTTAATGTTAGTAGCAAAGTTAAAGTCACCAATAATGATAGTGGGTATTTCTGAGGAAAGAAAGTAGGGTAGCCAGGCAGAGAAGTCATCCAGAAAGCGAGATACTGGTTCTGGTGGCCGGTATATAACCGCAATCCTCAGTGAAATTGGAGAGAATAGGCGAATCCAGTGGGTTTCAAAAGAGGAGAGGGATAGAGACGGAGGTGAAGGCAGAACTTGAAAAGTGCATTGAGGGGATAGAAGGATTCCCACTCCACCTCCTTTCCGTCCATTGGATCTGGGTGAGTGCGTCCAATGTTGGCCACCATGGGAGAGGGCAGCAGGGGGAGGCAGAGTTGGATGCCTGAAGCCAGGTTTCAGTAACAGCTAGCATGTTAAAGGAATTGGAGATAAGAAGATCATGGACAGCAGTGAGTTTGTTACAGACAGAGTGGGCATTCCAGAGGGCACATGAGAAGGAAGGACCGATTCTAGGAAGCAGGGGAATAGAAATCAGGGTGTGTGGGTTGCAGCTGCTGCCAGAGGAAAGGCAGTGCTGGTTTGGAGGGAGAGTATTAGAAAAGAGAGGGCCCGGATTGTGAGAGATATCCCCTGAAGTCAGGAGAAGCAGTAGTGTGAGGGACGTGAGATGAGAGGGAGTTTTACATGAGCGAACATGCCCAAGTGTCTTGGAGGTAACCCTAGCATGTGTATTCAGAATGAGCAGGAGGTGATGAGTGCAGTAATAGGGAGAGGGTAGGAGAGAAGGAGAAATATATAAATTGTGGGGTGGAGAGGGGGGGTAGAGGAAATACAGTTTAAGTAGAGAAGCCACAATTGTGCGAAGCAGTGGTAGAGAACGCATGCTGTGCAGAGGAAGTATGAGACAGTAAAGTGCATGATGAGTAGTAGGTATGAAACGGGTGCAACAATGAAAGAAAAGAGCTAGGGAAGAGGTTAAGTAAGAGGATAGTATTGAGATCTGGGTGAATGGTCAATGAATAACAGCTGCTGGGCAGCTGAATTATCCTTAAGTCAAGTGCTGATGTATCTCTATAAAGGTAAACTGAACCATGGGGTGGGAGCAATGTTCTGCAGAGAGTTGTAGATGGGGTTTTGGTTGCTTAAATACTCTATCTGTTAGCCAAGGTGCAAACTTTAGAAAAAACAAAAAAGAGAAAGGCAGGGGGTTACTTGAAGTACAGATAAGGGGGTAGAGGGTTATAAACTGGAACAAAATTTATGGTTTGACATACATGAAGCAAGCATCTAAATTAGCTATCACTTAAAACATCACAGATAAGCAGACTTTAAAAACAGCTTGAGAATGCATAGAAATAGTACAATGACATCACAGATAGTTGTGTTGCGCGATTATCGTACGCTAATCGGCAGGTGTATGGACACCTTTAGTGTATGCGTATATTAGGCCCCATTCACACCTACAGTATATTTCAGGTGTGATTAGCGATTCCTGTGTCACTTGCGTTTTCCTGCAGCAGGAATCCCTAATCTGCCGTTTACAAGCGGCAACTATCATAAGAAGTATTATCATAAGATTATTTAAGAGGGTGTGTTAAGGGGCGGAGTTAAGGCCGGGCATGGTTAAGGGTTAGGTGGGGCAACTCGTGGCTAGTAACTCTTAAGGCCTGGCTAGTAGCTCAGGACTTGAAATTTTGAACCCTCTACTAAGACATACAGAATATGTGCAAATGTAGACGAAGGAAGAATTAACACCTTCTCTGAATCAGCTGTTTGTGTAATCTGAGCTTCACCTAATGAGCTCTGTAATCGGAAGGTTTTTTTTTTCCAACAAGAAGGTTAAAAAGGAGTCTAGACCTTTAGTGAAAATGGTAAGCATGCAGTGTTTCATACAGGGCTTTAAAAAAATGTATTAAGAAAGGAAACTTTAAGCACAGTTGCTATTTTTAGTGGACAGTATTGTCAGTTAGGGAACTGGATAACATGTGAGTTCCTTATCAAATTAAACTTTTAATTTCACTTCTTTTGCTTTTATATGGCCTTTATTGGGGCTATTTTGCATATTTCTGTTTGCCTTCTAGGAGCCTAAAACCAGGGGGAAAAGTGGCTAAGAAAGAATTGGGGGAAGAGGACTCTGTTTCTGACTGGGACATTGATGATGAGGACGATGACATTTCTCTGGCTAGTATGTGTGAGGAAGAGTTTGAAAATGATGGAACTGGAGGAGTTTTTATGAACACATCTGAAACAGCTGAGGAGGAACTAGGTAACCCATATGATAATGCATTAATGTTTTCAAAATATGATAACTGCATTAATGTTTTCAAAAGTTGAGGTATGTGATGAAACAGCCATTATGTAAAAAATGGTCTCTGTTTAAAAAAAAAGCACTCATGCAGATTTCTTAAGTGTGCAGCCTATTAGCCTTGTTTCCAGATAATATTGTTTGTATCTGCCTCATTGCTTGGACAGATAGATTACCTTGCAGTTGCACGTTTGTTGTCTCCAGATTCTGCCTGCATTGAGATGGTTGTTACCCACTATAAACCTGGAGGGATATATCCTTTAATACACAGAATATAATTTTCCTAGTTGGGATTTATAGTGACTGGTAATATATTTTAACATAAGATAAACAGTTAATTTTGTAATGTACCCATTCTGATCCTCATAATATTTCTTTAAAAATTTTTAAGAAAACTGTTTTATTTCTCCTTTCTCAGAATTAAAAAAGGGAAAGAAGAGGCGTTTAAAAGAAGACGACATGTTTTCTGCTGCCGAAGAGGTATTTTTGTAATTCACAGATTTCACACATTTTACAAGTTTTTATCTAACTTGCTAGAATAGAACAATAGTTTTATTTTTGAATAGTGGGGAAAAAATGGATTTGCTTTGCATTTGCCATGTAAGGTGGACCATTTTCTTTCACATTTATTAAGGGTCACCGAATTTAGTTATTCTGAGACATTTGGGCTATACTGCCACCTTCAGGAGGAACTGAACAGTGCCAAGCTAAAAGCTGTTTGCCAGCCAGGTATATCTCCTCCCACTCTTAGCACGTTTCAGTTTATTGTTGGTGTCCTAGGTAGGTGGACATCTTTTCTTTGCTGAGAAAAGCTGTACCATTTTTATTAGTAATTTTATTGATTTTCTACAGATCTTTTATACGCCAATCAACACTTCATCTACAGGCTGCTAAGCTCAGCCTTTTATGCAGTAATGCAGATTGGTTTATCCTTAGTAATGCCTTGAAGGCCATACCCAGATAACATTAGATCAATGATTGCTGGGCCTGTCTGGAATGTGTCCCTTGGGCAGTGGGCTCTACTTGTGGTGCTTTCCAGACCTTTGTGCTCTGTGTTAATCACAGAGCATTCTCCAGGTCAGAGTTGCAGAAAAGCCTCTGGATTGACCCATTCTCTAAAGATTCACTTTGTGACAGGGTGGATTTGATTTAAATCAAGTCGACTTAAATCACGATTTAAATCATGATTTAAATCATTAGTAAAAAGGCTTGATTTAAATCAACTCGATCTAAATCATAATTTTTAAAGAGCCACTGTCATCTCTGTCCCGCAGTGGCTCCTCCTCTGACCCGCTGTTCACTCACCGACAGTCCCATTCACTTTAATGGAACGGCTGGTGATGCGGCAGTGACACAACAAGGTGAGGGACGTGGCGGGCAGCAGGTGAGTGGATGCCCACTAAGTGCTCTTTAAATGTAAGGACTCATTCTTGCTGATGGTAAGAATATTTAATTTTATTATTTGCAAACAAGGGTTAAGATGATCTGGAATGTCATCTTTGGGAACTAAACTCTGCTTGTGGTGTGAACAGTCACTTGTGTACTGTTAGCTGCAGAGCTATCTCTAGGTCCAATCTGGTTAGCAAGTATCTCAAATGTCTGGGTAAGAGATGTGGTTAGTGCCTACAAGCTAGAATTTACTTATCTACCTCTGCACTGCTTCATGTTGCCCAAACTTCCTGTGTATTTGCACGGGCTTGCAGACCTCCATGCTGCTTTGGCAGATCTTTTGATCCAAGGTGTTCTTGCCATTGTTCCAATGGCAGAAAGGTTTCAGTGGTTTTACTCCAGCCCTTTCCCTGTTTCAAAATCAAAAGGGGAAATTTGCCCTGTCTTGGATCTAATGACCTTGAATGTCTTTGAATCCAAAAGTATTGCATGGAAACCTCCCAGCTCTATCATATCATCCCTCCACCTCGTGAAACTTTCTAGCAGCTGTAGACATCAAGGATGCTTAATTGCATGTCCCCTCCAAGCGCACCAACACTACCTCCGAGTACAGAACAGTACCAGTTTGTAGCCCTTACATTTGGTCTGTCTTCCGCACACTGGGTTTTCGCAAAGGTGCTACCCTTGCTACATTCCTAGGGCATCCACATTGTGGAATTGTTGAGCTATCTTCTGTTGTCATGTCAAATACTGGCAAGCATTTTAATGCAGAAAGTGCAGACCTTAAAGAGGTTTGGTTGGATCTTGAATCTTACAGCGGCACTGAAACCAACTCATAATTTTGGTTTATCTGAGACTCAGTCTAGACATAGCTCAGGCCAGTTTTACTTCCCCAAGAAAACCTTCTGACACTCTGCTCCCAGATTCAGACTCTACAGACCAGGATTTGTCCAGTTCTGCAATTCTGCATGAGAGTCCTGGGCCTAAAGGTAGCCTCCTCGCAACATTCTGTTGTCATGGAACAGTCAGTCTCACACTGAAGAGTCCAGCTCTGCAGTTGGGGGAATCCTTCCTTCCATTGTCATAGCAGATCATCGCAATAGATGTCAGTCTGAATGGCTGGACAAGGAGTCCTCGACTCCTTGTCAGTGCAGGGGCCTTGGTCACCAGAGGAATCTCATTTCTAAATCACCATTCTGGATTTCCCAAGTGATCCTACAATGCTGGACATCCCAACTAGAGGGTCACACTAACAGAATTCAAATGGACAATGCCACTGTGATGGTGCACATCAACACTCAGGGAGGAACATGAAGCATTGCTGTGACTAAAGACGAAAAAAAAGCATTCTAGCCTGGCCAGGACTTCACGTTACGGCCTTTGTCGTTTATATCTCGGGAGTGAACACTTGGCAAACAGATTCCCTCAGTAGGCAGCCAGGAGAATGGTCCCTATATTTGGAAGTCTTTAAGGACTTGAGGCACAAGTGGGGGGCACCACACGTGGACCTTCTGGCCTCCAAGCTAGACAGGTTTATTTCCAGATTCAGAGATCCTCTGATCTGCACGCTCCAAGGGATCAGTACAGCCTGATATACACCTTTTTCCACTCTAAAATTCTTTTCTGATCTTCCTCAGGATTGAGATGGAGGGTATCCCAAAGATTTTCAAAGCTGGCCCAGTTAGATATAGTACACTGATTTGATCAGACACACCCTGCATGGCTCTTCCAGATCGACAGGATCTTCTATCTCAAGGACTGGTTTGCCACCCTGCTTCATGGATGCTGGCTTTAACTGCATGGCTGTTGAAGTCCAGGTCTTGATTATGTTACCCAAATTACTAGTTATGATCCGCTATATAAGCGTTCACACCTATGAGGATTCAACCATGAGATTTTTTAGCTCAACACAATAACAGAAATGTATTGGTAAATAGTATTAAGACTTAAATACAGTGAAACAACAATCTATTTAACTATGAAACACAAAAGATTTTGATAGATCTTTAACGATCTTACTGTACCCAGACTGGAGGGAAAATTACAAATGCGCAGGTGTCCAGAGGTTAACCCAAAGTCATGGTTGCATCTAAACAAGGGTGGGCAATCTAATTGTTTATCTACCTACAAGGATCCTTTCAAGCTCTTGGCCAGAGACAAAAGAGAGTATTCATCTACAGTATTGTGAAAATAAAAGATCTTGGCTCTGAGGTGTTTGATCTTATTGTCTCTTGTCTTGACCATTTACAGTTATCAGGCTGTGCCTGGACAAATCCATAATTACATTCAAAATTCCCATGTATTCAACCTCAGGACAGTAAAAACACTTTTTTTTTTCCTTTCTCCATTCAGTCACCCAACATAGAATATGTTTAAGTACAAAAGCTTTATGCATATGTTCATGGATATTTGACATAAACCTCATAAGGTAACAAATGGCAGGAGTCTCTCGGAATCATAATTCCCACTCTGTAACCTCCAATAAAGTCTAACATTGCACCTGGAAGGCTGGCAATGTTAGACGCAAGGAAAGAAGAATTTTCCCCTAGCAAATGCTCCGTGGGGCGAGTCCTGGCCTTTTTAAAGATCAGGTCTGTATCAGCATTAGGCCCAGAGTACGATCAAGGGACAAATCTCACCCCTTATAATCCTATTGCAAAGACTACCAGCCTCGCATTAATTAGTCAATGTTATTTTGCAGGTTGCTTGTCATGTGGCCCCTCCTGTGACTTGGCAGGATTTGAATCTGGTTCTGCCAGCACTTCAAAGCTTTTTGGACCCATTAGGGATATTCCTCATTTTTCTCTCGCTCACAAGTTTGCCTTCCTTGTTGCCAGCACCTCTGTGAGGCATGTTTGAGCTGGCGACCTCATACTGTAAAGATTCCTTGGTCTTACACAAGGATAAGGTAGTATAGCAGCTCTATGCCTTAATCTTTCCCAAGTTCAGTACGCTATAAGAAAATTTCTCTTTACTGCTTGGATATAGTTTGTGCCTTGCAAGTTTACTCGTTAGCCACTGCTGACATTAAAAATACATTCTCTTTTTATAATTTCTGATGGCACTCATAAAGGGAAACCAGCATCTCACACCACCATTTCTTGGCTCAGACTATCATTTAAACTTATGAACTAGGCTCCACCCTTTCCTGTAAAAGCACACACACTACTATGTTTGTGAGTGCTTCTTAGGCGTTTCAACATCAGACAATTGTTTCACAGATTTGCAATGCTGCCATCTTGTCTTCACATTGTCTTCCAGGTAGATATTCAGGTACCTCATCTACCGTCGGCTTTGGGCGAAAGATCCTTCTGGGCAGTGCTTTAAGCTGCAGGCTGTCTGATTTTACGGTTTGTTTTTTGGGGGTCTGTTAGTGTGTTGTTGCTGTTGACCACCCCTCAATTGGACTGGTTTTGGATGACCCAATTGTCAGAATAATTCTATATTTTGTCCCTTAATGAACAAGAGAGAAAACTTTTTTTGTTTTTAATGTAAAATCCGTTTCTTTCTTGGAGTTAAGGGACACTGGTCCAACCAGTCTTAGGGGTACTGCTTTTCTGCAAAAACTCTAGCATGGGGTGATATCTGGCTGGCCAACTGATTTTTTTGTTTGCCACTGTCCAAGGCAACAGCATAACCTAATTGTCTCAGAATAACTGAATCCCATGTACTTTAATGAACTCCAAGAAACAGATTTAAAGTAAGCACATAAATGTTATTTTTCTGTCTTGTTTTCTTTTGATACATTTCAGAATTAAGGCTATGTTAACATGTCTGGAGCAGATCTGCAGACACAGTGCAGTGCGATTTTTGCCACGTTCCGGGGTGTTTTGGGTTTTTTAAGCTTAAAATGGGCTTTCAGTTGCAGCCTAGTGCATTTGTATGCATTTGTGATGTGTTCCAGTGCATTCCAGACCAGAGAAAATCAGACCAGCAGTATCTTTTTTTGTCTGGTCTGGAACGGACTGCACTGGTGAGCACATAGCCCAGAAATACCATAGAACTACATTGGAATGCTTTTTTTGTCCTGGGAACAAACTGGTCTGAAAATGATCCGGACATAATGTGAACAAGCCCTTAGGGGTAAGCTTGTAATTATTTCAGCAATGTATTGTTTCAGCAATAGCGTTTTGCTAAAAAAGGAAAACATATTTTTTTGGAGAAACCTATTTTTTTAGGATCAGCAAACTAGCAGGAGCTAGTACATCAGAGACAGATGATTTGTTTTGTATATGTTGTTCAGCTAGGTGACATGCCCTTTATAAGGAATGTTGTGGAAATTTTATTAGGATGTGTTTTTAGTATATTGTATATGTGAATATTGTCACTATGTCTCTCAGTGTCAGGTTTGCCGGGCTATGCTCTATTGGAGCATGAGTGAAAAATGTGAAATCAGCGCTTATGGAAGGGTTAAGTGTTAAAGCTGCTGCGCTATAGTTTTTAACAACAATGAAATAATGAGTGTGCAGCGCTGTAGGTGTTTTATGTGTTACACATCTATTAACGTGCTAAAATCCCTACAATGGGTAAAGTGTAATCCCTTTTTCAGGGATATATAAATATGAAAACGTGTTTAAACAAATAAAATTACAAACAATATTGGGTGATCCTAGTGTCTTCACATAGCAATATCCTTAATTATTAAAAGGAACCAAGTGCCTCATAAAATCCGCTGTGTAGCTATATAACAGCCAACTTAATCAAATTCTATACAATAGTCAGTGATAATTCATCAAAATAAAGTTCATCAAAATAAAGTTCATCAAAATAAAGTTCAATTGTGATGATAATGGGAAAAATCCAAAGTAGAAAAAAATGAAGCCCAGACAGAAATATTTCAACACCGCTGTGCAAGTGTCCACGAATCCCCCTCTGGGGTGCGCACTCACCCCACTGTTTGTGGAAAATAGACAGTGTAGATGATTCTATGCGTCCACATTTAAGGTATTCTATCCGGTAGTATCCCGTCACTCGAGCATTTGTGGGATCATAAAAGAAAAACTCCTCATGGTGTGGCAAATATACACGTTTATTTAAAAAAACATAGAAAACTCAGTTTAAAACAGCAAAAACCGGCCGGTCAAACACAGCACCAAATCCAGCGTCCGCCAAGCATGTACTTCCTGATCGTGGTATCACATGGAATAGGCCCGCCCCGACTCGTTTCGTCACAGTCGACGTCCTCAGGGGGTTGCAACACATAAAACACCTACAGCGCTGCACACTCATTATTTTATTCTATTGGAGCATGGCCCGGAATTAATCAGCACTGAGGGTAAACCATTGGAGTAGATATCTTCCTGTGGATGTGGAGACGCGGCTGCTGTGCGCAGGGGTCTCCGCCGGCGAATGGTCCATGTGCTATGCACTGGGGTGTTGGCCGGGGGAGATTGATGTGCATTGCGGAGCGGCGTTCTCTTAGCGAGTGTATGGACGACGGCAAGGGACCCTGCGCAATGTGCGGCTTTATGAGCTTGGCGTGGATCTATTTGTTTTGAGAACTCTGTATCGTTTTTCAGATACATATCTGCCTTTATGAAAGAAACATGCGTTCGTATCTTTTTGGTGCGTCTGATCAAAGTGCTGGAAATAATATGCCATTGTCCCTGCAGATAAGCTCGCATTCATGAAAACCGTAGTGATAAAGTTCACTACTTTATGTGTGCAGGTCTGGTTAAGGCAGCGTCCACAGTCAAACATGCTTACTCCTTTGTGTAAGTGTTTTGGCGGGAAATCCATTGCACATGGTTGTCCATTGTTAACAAATGTGCACGTGAAACATGAACTGGCAGCTGAAAGCTGTGCACGGTGCTTCACATGCATGAGCATACACTCCCCTTTTCTATTGTCTATTCAGATGTATACATGTGTTTCGTTGGCTGACTCTAATGTAGATGAAGTGGTGGTTGTTGGAGACATCACTTCCTGCTGTTACCCCTATAAATAAAAGGATCTGACGCTATTCAGGAGGATAGAGACTGAGGATCCAACGTAATAACAGGACGTGTCTGTGTTTCCTTGCTGAGCGCAGCGGATTTCTATGCGCAGGAAGCGGATATTAATTTCTATAACAGGAATTGTAGTAAAAGAAGGCAATCTTTTATACTTTAAAAAAAAAAGGTATTATGTTTATGTGCGCTTCCACACACAAACGGCCAGACAGGAGGATATGTGGCGAATCTGGGTCTGAAAAAAAAAATTTATATACCTCGTGTCCCTTATCTTCAGTGGATATTAGAGGCGTTTTGAAGAAGTGATAAGTGGATTTGGATCTGCTGATGTCCTCTCCTTCTCTGGTTCCGGTGTCTCTGACAGGGGTGGGATGGGAGTTTGATTGGAGGTGTTGACCTCCCTCTCCCTTCTTGAGAATGTCCGCAGTCTCCCTCCTGGACACGGGTTGTCCTGATTGGTTGCCTCCATTCCCCTGAGGAAGGGAACATGCGAGACGCGTTTGGATCTTTGCCTGATACACAAGTTGGCCAGAATACTACTATATGAGATGATTGTGAAAATCCCAAGGATATAACTGGATATTAATATATGAAGAATAGTTATTTATTCTCTGGCTGCGTATGCAGGTCAATATGGGGGAATTATGCCTTTTAGGATTAAGATATTTTTTATATTGATATCATGTATCAATATCATGTATTGATATCATGATATCATATGTACTAATACATTTTTCTTTGATTTTACTTGGAATGACTGACATCTCATTAAACCCCAATCTTTTCTTTTAAAATGTAGATGACAGAAGTGGGGGTTCAAATAAGGGAATGGAGTCAAAAGCATGCATGGGTAACTAGGTTAAGACAGTGAGGTTATTGGAGTATTTTCAACAGAGCCTATTGTTTCTGGTGGTGAAGGATAGCAAGGAGGCATATAAATGTTATTTATATTCGGTTTAAGTGAGAGGACATGAAAGCAGAGACCGCACATTGACATTCAGTAACATGATACAGGAGGTGTATGATTGGATTTTGTAAGCAAATTGTAGGTCCTGTACTCAAAGTGAAATTAAAAGATATATAATACATAATTCTGTTAGTCTTGTTCAGTCACATATATTTCTTATCTAATTGTTTTATGCTTTTTTTTTTTTTTTAGTTTGGTGATATCCTGGATGACAACACTAGTTCAAAGTTTGACAACATTGGCATCAATGCCATGTCTAATAAGGAAAATGCAAGTAAGTATGTTTTCCAGTTCAACTTATATGATGATACCCATAGGTAAAAATGCCTATCTCTTTGTACAGAAAGTAGAAAATGTCCAGCCCTATCAAACTTTCCAGTATTCCCCTGTCCCATGGTATAGTTGATTTAAGAGTATTTTGTTCTCTACACAAGACATATTAATGATACAGCAGGATCATTTTAGACTTAAAGTGGACCTTTACCCCATTTCACGAAGAAATCACATCTGTGTGCAGCTCTGTGTGGTTATATGAAATCATATTACATGCATTATTTAAATAAACGTAATTTGCTTTTACTTGCCATTACTGTTTTTCCACTTCCTGGTCCTCTTAGGCATTAGTGATGTAGCCCATGCCTAAGCGATGCCTCCTGGGAAGGGTACATCGACAGTGCATTGCTGCAATATTCTCATCTGTAAAATGCATAATCTTGCAAGATCTCAGAGAAAGACATTTTAGGCCACATGTGCCAGAGTTCCAGGAAGTAAAGCAAAATGGATTAATCTGCCTTAGTAAAAATGGCCACTGTGAGAAGGATGGTGAGAAAAATAAGCTAGGCAAAGAATAAAATTTCTGCAATTATCTAATATCTGTTCGAAGATTGTCATTACAAAACATATCTAAAGGTGGCTTTGTTGTCGTTTTAAAAGAAGAACGTAGCAAGTTTAATACGGTGGACTTTGGAGTTCCACAAAAAAGAGCTAACTAAGGCATTTATTTTACGGAAAAAAAATTGAGGCACCCACACCGGAGAATTTCTGAGGAAATATAGAAAAACGGGTAAAAGTTTAATTTTAATGAAATTTACTTTGCCAATGAGGGACAGGGGAAGGTGTCTCCAGGACTCCAGACGTGATTTAAGCATAGCAAGTAAAGGGAGACGGTTCAGGGAGTAGAAATCCCCCACCGATCTAGTAATCTTAACACCCAGGTAAGTAATTGTGTCCACCCATTGTAAGGTTAGATAAGAATCGGCCAATAGTCTAGTCTGGGGATCTAGGGGCAGAATATGGGACCTAGACCAGTTTACCGTTAACCCCGAGCACACTTCGAACGAATCCAAGATACGCTGAGCCTCCTGAAGCGACGGTCCAGCATCCGCTAGAACTAAAATAAGGTAATCCGTATATAAGGCTAAACGCTCCTCTATACCCTTAATCTTAAAACCAGTTATCACCTGTGAGGACCTCAGTGCCACTGCCAGTGGTTTACCACCAGTGCGAACAGGCCAGGAGACAAAGGGCAGCCCTGACGAGTGCCCCTCTCAATCACAAAAGGTTCTGACGGTAGAAAGCCAATTTTAAGGATAGCCCTAGGTGAATCATAAAGAATACTAAACCCATCTCCTAAATTGTGGACCAAAACCACTGAGCACTTCCCACATATAACCCCAATCAAAAGAGTAAAAGGCCTTGGCCGCATCCAACGAGACTAAGGCCCTGGAGCCCACATTATCATGAGCAAGCTGTAGATTTGTAAACAACCTGCGTAAGTTCGTTTCTGTGGATTTGCCAGGGATAAACCCTGTTTGGTCAGTATCCACCAAGGAACCAATGACTCTGGAGAGACGGGTCGCTAGCACTTTTGTGAGCAATTTTAAATCCATGTTTAACAAGGCAAAGGGTCTGTACAAGGAGCATAAGAGGGGATCCTTACCAGACTTAGGGAGCAGAACAACATGAGCCTCCTTAAATGAGTCGGGGAGAGCCCCCAATTCCAGACAACTGAGATATAGATTCCTGAGCCTGGAGGCAAGTGAATCAGCATAAACTTTTGTACCACTCTGCCGGAAAGCCATCCGGCCCAGGAGCCTTTTCATTAGGAAAGGATGCTATTGCTGTCCGCACCTCCTGCTCTGTTATGGGTGCCTCCAAAAATTCTTGGTCTGAGCTTTCCAACACCGGTAGTGGAAGCCCACCCAACAAGTTTCCCAAAGAGCTCAATTCATATACAGGCATCCAAGAATAGAGGGATTTGTAGTATTCCCGGAATTCCTGCAGAATCAAAGAGGGGTCCGTAACTCTAGCCCCACTATTGGTCAGAATGCAGCTGATGTTTGTTTGAGACCTCTGTTCCACTACCAACATAGCCAGAAGCTTGCCATTCTTGTCCCCCTGCTGAAACAATTGGACATTTGCCAACTCCTAGTTTCCCCCCATGATCCGACAGACCCCCTGGGAGATATGAGGCACTAGACACCAGACCGAGCATAGGTAGATTGCCAAATGCCATGTCCAGCCGAGGCGAGGAGCCATGAATATGGGAGATATGCGAGTATGCACGCACACCAGGATGCTTTCAACTCCATATCTCCTCAACCAGGGCTGTTTCAGCCCAGGACTGCAGATCAGTACCAGGTACATACACATTTACCACTGCTAGCTTAGTGGTTTGTACATACAAAACCGCAATGACAAATCTGCCGCCAGGGTCAATAACAGTATGCAATATAGTGCAAGGAAGAGACTTCAGCACCGATACGCCCCGGTAGTAGGTGGCATGCACCGCCCGATGCATCCAGGTGTGCATCAGGGCCAACACTCTACCCCCCTCTAAATGAGTTTCCTGCAATAAAACAATGTGGTTGGATTTGTTTCAAATAGTTATGACCTCCAATTACCTCTTTAACTTATTATTTAGACCCCGTACATTCCAGGAGACCACTGTTATATTATCCAAACCCATAATACAGTATCCTAAGTGTAACAGGGTATAGCTCCAGTACTAACTGTATGTGGAATTCAGGGCGACACACAACACCCCAGGCCCAAACATGAAAACAACCCCCCCACTTACCAAGGAAACTTAAAAAACAAGACATTTATAATACCTTAGGAAGTCTAAGCCCAAAACCCCCAAAAATATCAGTCAGGAACGCACCACCAGAACAATGGTGTGCATACAAAAAGTGCACTTGAGGAAGGAAAAAAAAGCGCAGACCAACAGAAAAATTAAAAACAAAAATATGAAAAGTACAATTCCAAAGATCTAGGGAATGCTGCAAATGATGGGATGGATGACGTCCAGACGAGGACTAAGAGCACCAAAAAACAATGGAGTCACCGCAGGGCCAATGTATACTGCCGAACGTGTTACAGTACTTGCATATAGAATAGTGAGCAGGTCGTAATGGGAAAAGGCAGCATGCACGGGTGAGATATCTAGGAGATATTCATCAAAAATGACAGGAGAAAAAGGCCAAATTCAAAAATAACAATAAAACAAACGGAGAAACCCAAGAACAACTGTCGCCTTTTTAGGTAACATTAAGGCAGACCTGGCGGACAGGGTAATATTGCGCTGAGGGAAGCATCTCATCCCAGCGAATCCAGCCACTCATTCGCCAAGGTCGAGGGATCGAACGTGCCTGAATGGGGCACTCTGAGCTTGCTGGGGTACAACATGCCCTTCTCCTGAAGAGTACGTCGCACTTCCACAAAGGATCTCCTCTGTTTCTGTATCTCAGCCGAGAAGTCAGGGAAGAGGCGAATTGAAGCATTTTCGTGGCGAGGATCAAGAATCTTTCTGGCAGCAGCCAACACTCTTATCACAGTCTCGGTAATTTAGGAGACGAACCAGGAATGGACGCGGGGGCGCTCCTGGGACCGACCTGCCAGTAGGAACCCTATGTGCCCGTTCCACGACGAACGTCGGAGGCAACTCATCCAGGGCAAGTATGGTCTTGAAGAGAGCTTCAGCAAAGGGAGCCGGCTGGGGGCCCTCTGCCCCTTCAGGCAGGCCAACAAATGCGCACATTGTTCTCCGCATCCTATTTTCAGAATACTCTACTTTTGCGGCCAGGAGCCAGACCATGCGTTGTAGTTTTTGAACCCGGGTCTCCGCCTGCGAGAGCCTGCCCCTGATCTTATCTAAGTCGTGTCTAATCAGGGTGCATTCCACAGCCAGGTGATCAATTTTGGCCATGAGCATGGCCTTGCAGCCCTCTATGGCTTCAAGTATTGCCTGAGTCCCGGTCTATGCTGTACCTGAGCTCGGTGGCAGGGCAGAAGGATCTGTTGAGACATCCGCAGCGTCATCAGCTCCTCCCTCCATCGTGTGCACAGAGCAGGAGCACTCGCAGGCAAGGAGGGCAAGATGTCGACCGACAGGTACGAGGCTGCACGGTGCAAGTTCCTCCGCCCCCGTCTCGGAGTATCAGCCCATTTCCCAGACCTAGACGGCATGCCACGAAGAACAGCACGCTCACCAGAGCCCCGGTGAGTAGGATTGTGCGCTCGGTCAGAGAAAAGAACCAGAGATTAGCAGCGGAGCTGCCTAGATCTCGTCTGCGCCGCTTCACATCCTGGCCACGCCCCCCGGCCACCTGCAATTGACAACTTCTCCTGCTTTCTCCCCGCCCAGAGCCGCTCCATGCTCGGATCTGTTTCTGCTCGGGGTGGAGGGGCGGAAGAGGGATCTGTCAAATTCAGGATGCCGAGCACTGAGGGGAGAGCACAGCCGCTGTCAAAATTCAGGATGGAGAGTGGTTCTGTGCGTGGCCGAGCAGCTCATAATGGAGAGCAGAGGATCGGTAAATGTGTAATATTTACTGATCCTTCTGTGTGATCGCTGATCACTGCAATGTTTGTAAACAACTGGGACATAGTATGTGTCCTTAGTTATGAACAGGAAGTGCTTTACATCACTTCCTGTTCATTCATGAGTATCTGAAAGGATAGAAGCAGTTCACTATAGAGGCTTCTGTCCATTCATAACTGGTTAATAGTAAATATTTACAATCCCCAGTTTGTGAATGAATAGGAAGGCTCTGTACTGAGTGCTTTCTACTCATTCAGAACAGCTGCAGAAAAAGAGATTGAGGACTTGTGTCCTCATTCTCTTTTTCTCTTATAAAAGGGAAATATCAGGGGTCTATTTATCCTCTAAGACTTTTGTAGAGGATATCTTTCATTTGGCTTCCCTTGTATGATCCCCACTGATTCTATGGAATCTGAATTTGGTTATCTTACTTTTTGAGCCTATTAAGGATTTTGCCTCTGTGAGGCGCGTGCCTGAACTAGCAGTTTTATGCTTTAAAGAACTGTTGTTTTGTCAGCCTGTTAATGTTTTGTTGCTGTTGCCCACCCTACAGTTGGACTGCTTTTGGATATCCCAACAGTTTCTGAAATTATCTGTCCTTCAATGAATGCTAAAATGGGAAAATGGCATATTTGTACTTACCATAAAATCAATTTCTTGTAGTTCATTGAAGGACATATTCCCCGCCCCTCCATGTCTATGTTCATGCTCTTGGTACTGCTTTTAAAAACTGAGGCATGCTAGGAGGGGCTCTACCTGACTGGCCACAGTTTTTTCAGTGTCCAAATCCTCCTGTAGGCAGCAGTATAGCCCAAGAACCTCTTAGATTCTGTGTGCCTCAATGAACTACAAGAAGTATTTTTTACTGTAAGTACAAAAATCCTATTTTGGTCTTTACACATGTAAATTTTGGCTTTAATACTGCAATTCTGAAATTAATACTTAGGGTAAATTCACACTGCTAATTTATTTTATTTCACTAGGCATCAAGCAACTGAAATGGGAAGCCGAAAGAGACAATTGGGTTCACAGCAGAGATGCTAGAAGTATCATCAAGAAGAAAAGAAAATTCAACCGAACGAAGCTACAAAAGAAAGGGAGAAAATAAATGCAATTTTGTAATTTATATTTCTGCATTTTCTTTTACCTTATATTTTTTACATTTTGTGTTTAGTATTGATTTAATAAATTAAATCTTATCTAAAATGTATGCAGTTTTCTATAAACATGTTTTAATGTGACATATTAAACTAAACCTGTAATGAGAGCAATTCAGAGGCAGCTGCTACCCTTGCTGACCACAATCTGGAAATGCAGGTTGCCTCACTACCTCCGATTTCATATCTGATTTATAGTTACTAAGTCAAAACCGTTATTCAGAGCTGAATGAAGTCAGAATTTCTAGTCTGCCTATAGATCAGCGATTCCAAAGGGAGCAAGTCAATTGAACTATCATGACTACAGAAAGTGTTTTTTGTTTCCAGAGAAAACCGCAATGACAGCATCTTTGATTCCTCTGTACAGGTCTCTTACATGGATTTGTGTGAACTCTTGATTTCTTTCCACGGTCAAAAATATATTGTATGTTAATTGGACTAAATCAACCCAAATGCACATGTGCACTTTTGCCACTGTGATAGAAATGTAAAAGAAAACTTCAAGTGCACTTACTAAATCCTCCCCACATTCAAAATAACATGCATACCATCAAAAATATGGAATAAATGAAATCCAGAAAAAAAGCAGTCCCTTTAGTGAAAGCAATAGAGGTCTCTTCAGATAATATATTGCAATGTATATCCTCTATATTTTATTGGTGTCTATTGATCCTCAAAAACACCTCCATGTGAAATCACTCAAGAAAGCAGAGACGTGCTTGTGCTCACAGGTACACTTACCAGAGAAAAAATGTCAGGCCGAAACCGAAAATAATTTTTTTCCTAAACCTTTTTTATATTTTTTTTATATTTTAATTTTATTTATTTTTTAACTTTACCGTCGGGGGCTTTGGGGAATATTAGGGGTCTAAACAGAACCTTGATATTTCCCTTTTAAAATAGAAAAAGAGATTGAGGACAGAGTCCGCAATCTTTTTCTACAGGCCCTGTTATAAATGAACGGGAACACTCAGTATAGAGGCTTCCTGTTTATTCATAACTTGTGAAGATAGAATGTTTACTTTGTACACAATTGTGAATGAACAGAAAGTGATGTAGATAACTTCCTATTCATTCATAACTGGTACATAGTAATTCATACTATGTCCAGTTATTTACAAACAGTCAGCGATCACTGGTCACCGCTCTCCATCCTGACTGTCACAGGAGCGTGAGCCAGTGGGGTTGTGAGGAGAACTCGGTCTATTTTGACCGCTGTCTTTCCCCCTCACCACCAGCTCGGGCTCCTGTGACAGCGCAGCACTGTCTCCCCTCCCACACCGCTCTCCATCCTGATTGGTCAGAGGAGGCTGAGGGGTTGGTGTGGGAGGAGAGCCTGGCCTCCTGTGACATCGCAACTCACAGTGCTCTCCTCCCCTGCATTGCTCAGCCTCCTGACCGTTTCTCTCCTCCACACTGGATGATGCGCTGTGTCAGAGGAAACAGAGCAACACACATCGGGGAGGAGAGAAACTAGGCATGCACCGCAAAAGTGCCATTTTCGGACGATATGTTTTCTGCAGCTAAAATTTCGGTGCATCCCGAGTGGTTATGCTACTTGCCAGTTGTCCTTTGTTTATATTTTAAATTGTCCATGTGCATTCTGACAGTTTTATTCTTGTTGTACCTGGTGCTGATTTTCAGCACCATCAAATATGACATCAAATAGAGGTATTTTTGAAGTTCAATAGTACAAACACAAAAACTTCCAAGCACACTTACCAGCCAGTGTGCAAACAAGCAAATTACACTGCATGAAGGTTTTTTTTATTTTTTTTTCGCAGGCTAGTTGGTAAGTGTGCTGGGGAATCTTTGTGTTGGCAACGTGGAAAGCCCTTCCATTTAAACCTTACTTTAAAAGCTAGTTATAAATTGATTTGTGAGGTTGCCATTTTTGATTGCTGCTTTTGGTGTGGGGACACACGTGGGGGCTTTAGCTGCCATTGTAATGTGCTGGGCTTCTGGTGTGTCCCTGTGCCTTTAAGGCAGAATAGGCTACCTGTAGGCATACCTGCACTCAATTTATCCATTGCTATACACCAATCAGCTATAACATTATGATCACTGAAACTGAATAACAGTATCTCATTATAATGGCACCTGGAAGTGGGTGGGACATATCAGCCAGCAAATGAAAATTTTGTCCCTGAAGTTGATGTGTTGGAAGAAGAAAAAAATGGACAAGTGTAAGGATTTAAGAAACTTGACAAGGGCCAAATTGGACCAAAAGTGGTACAAGAAAAGAAAACCGGTGCACTGGCGACAGGGTCATGGGCGGCCAAGGCTCATTGATGCACATGGGGAGTAAAAGCTGGCTGTGTAGTCCGATCCAACAGAAGAGCTACTGTATCTCAAATTGCTGAAAAAGGTTAATGCTGGTTCTAATAGAAAGGTGTCTGCAAAAACAATGTTATCGCAGTTTGTTGATTTTGGGGCTGACCTTTGTCCACCGCCAAAAACGCCTACATATTGGTTACATGAGCATCAGAACCAGACCATGGAGCAATGAAAGAAAGTGGCCTAGTCTGATGAATCACATTTCCTTAGCCGTGTGTGTGTGGCTTACATGGGGGAAAAATGGCACCAGGATGCACTGTGGTAAGAAGGCAAGCCAGCAGAGGCAGTGTGATGCTTTGGCCAATGTTCTGCTGGGAAACCTTGGGTCCTGCCATTCATGTGTTCAGAATTTTTTGGTAGACAGCAGAATTCATGGTTCCATTTATCACAGCAAGTCTCCCAGGTCCTGAAGCAGCAAAACAGCCCCAGACCATCACACTACCACCACAACCATATTTTACTGTTGGTATGATGTTCTTTTTCTGAAATGCGGTTTTACTCTTACGCCAGATGTAATGGGACACACACCTTCCAAAAAGTTCAACTTTTGTCTCGTCAGTCCCCAGAGTATTTTCCCAAAAGTCTTGGGGATCATCAAGGTCCTGCCATTCATGTGTTCAGAATTTTTTGGTAGACAGCAGAATTCATGGTTCCATTTATCACAGCAAGTCTCCCAGGTCCTGAAGCAGCAAAACAGCCCCTGACCATCACACTACCACCACCATATTTTACTGTTGGTATGATGTTCTTTTTCTGAAATGAAGTGTTACTCTTACACCAGATGTAATGGGACACACACCTTCCAAAAAGTTCAACTTTTGTCACGTCATTCCACAGAGTATTTTCCCTTGGGGATCATCAAGATGTTTTTCAAAATGTTTTCTGGCATAACGGAGACGAGCTTTTATGTTCTTTTTGCTCAGCAGCAGTTTTAGTCTTGGAACTCTGCCATGCATGCCATTTTTGCCCAGTCTCTTTCTTATGGTGGAGTCATGAACACTGACCTGAACTGAGACAAGTGAGGCCTGCAGTTCTTTGGATGTTGTTGTGGGGTCTTTTGTGACCTCTTGGATGAGTCGTCGCTGCGCTCTTGGGGTAATTTAAGTTGGCCGCCCACTCCTGGGAAGATTCACCACTGTACCATGTTTTCGCCATTTGTGGATAATGGCTCTCGCTGGGGTACCAAAGCTTTAGAAATGGCTTCATAACCTTTCCAGACTGATAAATCCAGGAACAAATGAGAAAGAAAGTAATTGAGATCTCTTTGGATCTCGGCATGATGTGTAGCTTTTGAGGATCGTTTGGTCTACTTCACTTTGTCAGTCAAGTCTTATTTAAGATATTTCTTGATTGCGAACAGGTGTGGCAGTGATCAGGCCTAGGTGTGGCTAGAGAAATTGAACTCAGATGTGATAAACCAGAGTTAAGTTATGTTTTAACGGGGGGGGGCAAACACTTTTTCACACAGGGCCATGTGGGTTTGGATTTTGTTTTCCCTTAATAATAAAAAACCTTCCTTTTAAAAACTGCATGTTGTGTTTACTTGTGTTATCTTTAAATAATATTTAAATTTGTTTGATGATCTGAAACATTAAAGTGTGACAAACGTGCAAAACAATGAAAAATCAGGAAGGGGGCCAACACTTTTTCACACAACTGTACATTGACTCTGGTAATTTTTCCTTTTCTAAAGCGTCCTCAAAAGTTTGTAATAACACAGGAAGCAAGATAGGTGCATATTTCTTATACACTGAGTGGCCAGATAATTATGACCACCTGACGTTTGTAGGCAAATTAGCTATAATTTCATGCTGAAGTTGCTAGAGGGCCAGACCATTATAAAAAGGGAAGACCATCCAAGCCTGGAAATTTCCCATTTGGAAAGCTGACCACTGCTGCTTCCAACACTTGGATAGTAAGGAGTCTCCAAACTATCTTTATCACTCCTGAGGTAGCCTATTAAATGTAATATTGCCTATAAATCTCGCTAGATCTTCACCACTACAAGTTGCCCTAGTAGTATAAACCCTTTTGTAATACTGTTAAAAGATTGAAATCATTTTATTGGACTCATTGCACAGTTGGTCATCGTTATCCTTCAACGCATTTACAAATGGGACTTGTTCTTGCGCCCTCACCAACTGTGCCAACAGTCTTCCAATATTCTCCTTCACAGTATTTCTGATTGCTAAAAAATAATGTATTCCTAGCTTTCTTACTTTCAATATGCCTCAGTTGTTCTTGTGCTGCGGTCCAATCATTGCAAACCTTTTCGTTAGGATTTAACACAAAGGGGTCAATTCACAAAGCTTATTTTCTTCATTTCAGCCGTTATTTCATTGATATCGCTTGCTATATAGTTGCTGTGTCAATTCACAAAACTCAATAACGCTTCTTATTTTTAGGAAGTGGTAAATTAAATATTCAGACCTTATTTTAACTATTCAGACGTTATTTTGACAACTGTAGTGATAAAATATGATTGAAATGCAATTCACAAAAGGAAAAGTTCCTTTTTATCACTCGTTATTGAGACGTAGATTTATCACTTCCTTCAGGGTGGCGTTATGACAGATTTCAGGCGTTATCTGATGCTTGCTGCACTGAGATGACG